CGACGCAAAAGAAAATGCTACGGTACGGTACGTTACGATACGATTGAAGTGGAAAACAGGCTTTAAGCCTGGGATGTAACTGTCGCGAACCTGTCGTGAAATGTTTGTCGTGAATGATTTTTATGCGTGTTGCCATATGGTTGTAACTGTCGTGATACTGTCGAAGTTAATTTCGTACCCAGGGATCGTACAAGCAGATGACGGCAGTTTTAAAAAGACAAACACGGTCTTCCCAAAGGGGACCTTTGCCCCCCTGATTGTCGAAAAACTGTTGCCACGCTGTCGTTTTTCCGTTTCCATTAAAACGTAACCGTCACGACACGTTTTTAGCCTGTCGCTGCAACTGTTGTCGAGATAAAAATCGAGCCTATCTCGGTGACACTGTTGTAACTGTCGTGAACTGTTGCCAGCGTGTCGCGACAAGACTTTTCTTCATGTTTCCATTTGGTCGTGAACACTACTCTGACGACAGTTACCACACGGAACGGTTGCCTGGGCCATCAATACCAGAGATGGAAAACATCTGTAATGCCATAGATTACCGAGCACCAAGTTGCTGAGCTGGACACGAAAACCAGAAATAAGGCAGCTACATAACTCGCACACGTGTTATACCACCCTTAAATATACTGTACTCCTGTCCCACCTCACACCGGGGCCTCACGTGATGCTCACGTGCCGCCAAAATATTAATTTCTGTCTATTCATTTGCATTGATTCGCCAGAAATTGGATAATGTAGAATGAGTTCAATCTATAGCCCCTGCCAAAAATTAGTTGACATGCGAATTTTTCCGTAAATTCTCTGGCCTAGTGACTAGTGTGCTGTTTTACCTTACACGTAGACATTACTGTCGCCAGCAGAAAGCTAGCCTTTCATTCTTTCAATTCAACACTCTGCATTGATTAAGCCATAGTTAATAGAATAGATGGTTTGGAAACTCATTAGAATAACAATATAACTCATCTATATGTTAGTGAACGTTTATTCATAAATCTGGTCCTTCACCGTCACGTGTGTATTGTATTTTTGCCAAATTCACCAATAGCAATTTACAATTTACCCTATTGTTCCGTTTGTTCGAGTCACGTAAGCTGCTCCATTTACTGTTCGGAGTACTCCGGATTTTCGGAACACTAATGGCACGGAACAGAAGAGAGTCACATGACTGTTCTGAACTGTTCTGACTACCCCGATTTTCGAGTAGGGGCAGCCAGAACAGACACGTGACACTGCCCATTTTCACGTGATTGGAAATGGAGGCGACATATTTTGTGTATCCAATGCACACTGTATAGAGCGTTATTTTGAAGGGTTAACCGCTATATTTCGACATATACTTATTATATGCTTATTTGAACGCGCACATGCCCCCATTGCCCCCGGCCCCTGTATTTTTGAGAAGATGGGAAGACATCTTTGCACCACGACAATGCATATCAATGGTTTTTGATTCGCTAAAATACCAAATTTTCTTGTATATAATCACTAGATAGACATTTTTAGTAGTATCCTTGTTAAAAAAGTCAATAACGGTTGAGCATAAGTTGAGCATGCAACTCCTAAAAAGGATCAAGATGGGGCCATATGGGGGAAAAGGTGGCATATTGCACTTGTCATATCTTCGAAACGAGTTGAGTGACCCCAACTTTTTTTTCTGTCTTTTATACCATGAACATATCATAAACGTCACCCCTGGGAAGTTTCAGCAAATTCTCATTTGCAGAACAATTACTTCACAGTATTAGTGATATTTAAGCCCTGGGCAAACTAGGAAACATTGTTGCGGAAACATTGTTTCCTACCAATGTTTCGCCATGTTTCCCATGAGTGGGCAAACACTAGGAAACATTAGTGAGAAACATAGGGAAACATCAAATGTTTCTGAATTTGCTAGGAAACATTTTTGCTTCCCGGGAAGCAAATTGTGTTTCCGCAACAATGTTTCCACGGGTGGGCAAACATGGAAACATTTGAAGAAACATCGAGAATCACAAATGTTTCCGCAACAATGTTTCCTAGTTTGCCCGGGCTTTAGGGGATTTTTCAACTACTTCAAAATACTTCATGTTCGGAAAATATAATGGTTTTGTGAGCGAGGACAGGGTGCATCGATCATTATAGGGTGCATTCATGCATTTCTGATTTCTAGTTGTATGAATGTAAAAATATGGCTAGAGTCATGATAGTTTGTATTGGTATTGATGTGGGTGGCACAAATACTGATGCAGTTGCACTTTATGATCGAAAAGTTGTCGCAAAAAGCAAAAAACCAACTACATCTTCGATTACCCTCGGCGTTCGAAATGCCCTTCATTCTGTACTTGGACAATTAACTCATCCAATTTTGGCAAAATTTACAAACCCTAATTGTACTCGCCATCGCATGATTACCTATATTTATTATATACATGACAAAATTACTGCAATCTGATTGTTTAAGAGAAGTGCAATTATTTCATTAATTGCACTCTCCAGGAGTGCAATTAATGATTTTCGTGATGGCTGGGGGGAGCGGGAAATCAAAACAACAAAATCCAATATGGCGGCGAAATTTAAATAAGTATTTATAACAAATATGGACGAATTTAACTAAATTTTGGCACAAGAATGAGTTTAAAAAACATTGTATGGCAAAAAGAGCCTGTGGAAAATACCTGGAAACAGTTTTAAGAAATAATCTCGGCGGGATGCAGCGAAACGTGACTATATGTAAGTTTGGAATACAATTTATAAAGATTTTCTTAGTCTTACTGGGAGCGAGGGAAACAGTCCACAAAACATACTGCTTTCCCGAGGTCCCACGGTAAATAAGTATTTTATTATATACCAATAGTGAAAGAAACAACAAATTAAAGAACAAATGAACGTAAATACATGAAGTATTTTATTGTTAAAACGTTAAATTAAACACTGCAGTTACTAGCCGAATTCATATTAGAGACGGGAAACTCGTCTAATATGAATCCGGGGGCAGACGAGTTTCCCGTCCGAACTTTCCAGTCTAACTTACCCGTCCAAACAGACGGGAAAGTTAGACGGGAATCCCATCTAGACGGGAAACTCGTCTTAAATTCGAATTTATCCGTCCCTAAATTCATATTCAGACGGGTTTGACAGACGAGTTTCCCGTCCCTAATATGAATTCGGCTACTTAAAGCGAAAGTTTAAATTACTAGGCATATGTCCAAAGGTCGCATCTTCACGTGGTGGCGCACGTGATTTTTTTTCGTTATTAAACAGATTTAGATGGAGGACGTGGACGTCAAAGACGACGTGAGAATGGCGTGCCATATCTATACATGGGCACAACGCGCCATTTTCACGTCGTCTCTGACGTCCGCGTCCTCGATCTAAATCTGTCTATTCGCCGGTCGATAACGTATTATTTCCCTCTCGCGCTGTTGCGAAGGAAACAGCCTATTTTCATCACTCTCACGTGATATGCTCTAGACTAATAAAACACTAGAAAAAGGGGACTTTGACTATTGGTATATATAATAATATATAATTCATTGTTGTTTGCCATTACTTAAGTCTAAAGCATGTTCTATAAACGTTTTTCAAAACCTTGGATGACCAATTATCACTTATTTACTGAGACCGAGGGAAACAGTTTGTTTTGTGGACCCGAGACCGTCGATGTTTCCCGAGGCGAAGCCGAGGGAAACATCGACGGTCGAGGGTCCACAAAACACACTGCTTTCCCGAGGTCTCAGTAAATAAGTGTTTTATTATATATCAATAGTCAAAGAAACAACAAATTAAAGAACAAGTGAACGTAAATACATGAAATATTTTATTGTTAAAACGTTAAATTAAACACTACAGTTAATTAAAGCGAAAGTTTAAATTACTAGGCATGTCCAAAGGTCGCACCTTCACGTGATGGCGCACGTGATTTTTTTTCGTTATTCGCCTGTCCATAACGTATTGTTTCCCTCTCGCGCTGTTGCGAGGGAAACAGTCTAATTTCGTCACTCTCACGTGATATGCTCTCGACCAATAAAACACTAGAAAAATGCGACTTTGACTATTGGTATATACAGTAATAATGGTCTTTGTATTTCAATTAAAAGGAAAAACAAACTGTATGTCTGAATAGGAAATTTCGTAAAAACCCTAGTTGTGAAAATAATAAAATTTATAAGGATTTCAAAAACAAATTAAATCATTCTATACGGATAGCTAAACGTTTGTGTTTTGCAACAAAATTGAGAAATGCTACCACGAATATTAGAAAAACCTGGCAGATTCTAAATGAGGTGAAAACAGAAAGAAATGTTGTAATAAGTTGCATTCAATGTTTTCCTTTAATAATTTAATTTTTAATTTTAATTTTACAAGCTTTGTCACAACAAGAATACATCATGACAAATAACAATCATTACATATATAACATTACAAATGTGACAGGAAATCACAACAGCTTCAGGCCAATTACTGTGATCCCAAAACGTAAACGTACAAGTACAGTGTTACACAAACATACACACACACATAGACACACATATATGTATATATAGATACATATCTAATTTAAAAACAACATGCAATAGGTTTGGTTAGGTCCCGGGCCTGGTTACATTTCAGGCAAATTGTTTTCCACGACCGAGGATCATCCACATCATAATTCCTATCTAATGCGGTATAGTAATATTTAATTAAGAGATTTTTAAAGGTTATTAGAGAGTTAGATTTATCGGTTATTGATCCTGGTAATATGTTCCATATTCTTGTTGTTCTTATCGTATAAGTCTGTTGGTATGTGGAGGTTTTACATTTCATAACTTGGAAGTTTATGGAGTTCGGATCCACTGATCTTGTAATTCGTGAGTTTTCATTATGTTTGGGAACAACTGCATCCGAGAGGCACATGATACCGCAATTTGCCTTGTAGAAAAATAACATGTCTAGATATTCATGCCAATAACTTAGAGGTAGAAAGACCAAGTCAATAAGCCTTTGGGTGTAGCTGCTTTCACAAAGGAAAGGTAGATCTAAAATGTATTTGGAAGCACGTCTTTGTACGCGTTCTAAGCGAGCGATGAGGTCGATGGTTTGCGGAGACCAAACTTGTGTAGCATATCCCATTTGCGATCGAACAAGTGTTATATATAGCGTCCGACGGGCTTTACAGTTCTTGATTGTTCTTGTTGATCTTTTGATGAAACCCAACATTTTATTTGCTTTTGAGCATTGTTCCAATACCTGTTTGCGCCAGGTAAAATTGTTTGATATCCATACGCCGAGATCACGCTCATTTTCAACGTTTTCTAACATGCTATCTTGTAAGGTGTATGGATACTTGATCTGGCGATGTTTTCTGGTGACCCGCAAAGCTTTACATTTGGAAGTGTTTAAGTGAAGACCCATATCTGAAGAACTTGATTCAAAACTACTCAGGTCCTCCTGTAACGATGCAGCATCACCGATATTATGGGTTTCTTTGAAGATTTTGGTGTCATCAGCGTATGTTGCAATGGATGAATTCTTCACAGAAGAAGGGAGATCATTTTCGTATAACAAAAATAACACCGGTCCGAGAATGGAGCCGTGAGGTACCCCTGATGTTACTTGACTAGGTAAAGATGTTGCACCGAGGATGGCTGTTTGTTGACGACAATATTGTAGGTAGGAGCGGAACCAGTTGAGAATGTTGCCTCCAAAACCAAATTCAGGGAGACGAAGAAGAAGACGTTTATGGCTAACTTTGTCAAAAGCTTTTGACATATCTAAATAAATTACATCGATCTGTTTGCCACGATCTAGTTGTCAAAGACTTCGATAAGTTGGGTCACACAGTTTTTCCCGGGAAGGAAACCATGTTGACAAGGATTTATTCGACAGAAAATATGATCTTTAATAGTATTGAAGACACAGCGTTCCAGAACTTTCGAAACCAGAGAGAGCAGAGATATAGGTCTATAATTTTCCACAAATTCCTGGTCTCCTTTTTTATGAGCAGGAACAACATTAGCGAGTTTCCAATCAAATGGTACCACGCCGATACGCAACGATTTGTTAAACAATTGACATAGAGATGGAGCTATTTGAGATGCAGTTTCTGTTAGTAAACGAGCAGGAATCTCGTCTGGAATTCCATGAGCTTTGTCGTTATCAAGAGTTCTT